CAAAGCACTTCTAAGAGTCAACGAATAAAGAGGCATAATAAAATAACACCATACTTTCTCAAGTGGGAGAATAGGAAGGGAGGAGGGGAAGAGAAAGCCAAGTACGGTAAAAGCACTAGAGAAAAATTTATGTTAGTGCTGCTTTCACACAATCAAGTCTCCCTTCCTTGTAAAATATAGATGGTCCTAGATGAACTATCAGACTCGCATAATTAGTTTTCTTAAAGAAAATATTAGTCCCTGTAAAGACATTTTCTTCTTCCTGGCTGTAACTTCTAGCAGTACTGAAGAACATTAGCAAGTCTTGCAAATTGTATTACCAAACAGAATTAAGGTCAATGTTGTCACAGGGATTAGGACACCACTGTCTTACAACCATGTCAACTGTCCAGCAGCCGTGAAGAGCTCAGTCTAGCATGCTCTGTGAAGTATGCCAACTCCAACCCTATGCATTTACACATTTCATTTACTGTCTAGGGCTAAACAATTTCAATATGCTTAGAAGCCCCTAGGTTATGTGTACTTACTGCTTCAACATAACATTAGGAAAATGAAGAGAAAGCATGAGAGAAATCCACTAAACCACCTGTGAAGTAACAGTTACCCTACTACCACACTACTTTGAAAAATAATTACTAGGGGAAAGAGAGGGGAAATCCAGTATGTAAAGCTGAATTGCATGTTATTATCTCCTGAGGTCAAGGCACCAGGTAATGAGTCTTTTCCTGAAGAGAAATCCTGACTGTCATAACCAGAACACACCCAAGGTCTTGCTTGTTTTTAAATAAGACTGTTCACGCTCAGTCTTTACTGCAAGTCTTGTGGAAAAGGCAACACTAATGAGATCAAGTAATCAATAAGGTTTGCTTTTCCTTGCAAAACTTGTCCCAAATCCCTAGTGCATCACAGCTGCACCACTGCTGAACTGTTCCGCTGCAATACTCAGCCTTTTAAAACAATTCTGCACCTCCCTTTCTTGTGACAGCTTACACTAATTCAGTACAGCCCTCTGGAGAATACGATTCCCTCTCCAAAATGGTAACCCGGGCTTCTTGAACATACTTTCTGTTTTATGGCTCTTCACCACCCACCCCCACTCCTTTGTCCTCCACATTCAACAAGCACTGTAATAGATTTTCAGCCCATTCTCCTCCCCACTAAAGGGCATGGTGAGAGCTGACCTGTGAAGACTGCAGGGATGAAGGTCCTTCCAAACAGGAAATTCTTCAAGGGGACAAGAAGAGAGAAGCAGTCTGATGACTTGCAGTTAGCAGTGCTTCCATGCAACCTTTTCTTAACAGAGAGTGTGCTGTGCAGTGCTCTGTTTATATCGCCAGTTTAACAAAATGGAGTATTTCCAGCAAGATTCAAGACAAGGAATAACTATTAAGAAGCACATGCATCAGTTGTCTCTGCTGACCTTTTGCTTTCATAATCTAAAACATAATCTAAAAAAAAAAAAAAAATCTATGTTTTGTTGTTTAAGCATAAGTATTTTAAACATATAAAAACTCAGACTAGCAGAAACTTGAAGATGATATCTCATCATCGATACTCTGAATAAAAGGCATGAAAGCATTAAGATACCAAGTAACAGTTTACTCCCTGTACCAAATTACCAGGACAGAAAAATTGTGTTTTAAGAAATCAAGTTGCTCAGAGTCACAGCTCAGGTCCAGGTATCCTGTTAAACAGTGTAACACATCTCAAACACCCAGAAAATCAGTAGTTTGTAATTAGTAGTTTATAATTAGCTACAAGGAAAGCAAACATGATTATACTAAACAGAATACCATTGAACAGGCCACAAAAATACAGCCAACCGCTTTCATTGACCTAAACTGGTGGCTAAGATACTTCTATAAGGGTATGGTCGTATTATCCAAAGGAATTGTATTCCTATGGCTTCAATTTCAAGTTTGAATCCTAATAATTAAACTCTAGATGTCAAATACTGGAAACAAAAAAGTCATTTGTACAAAATGAAATTTATTAATATGCTACAATAGCAATATCATGACTTGCAATAACACTGGAAAAACTAGTCTCCCCAATCCCACTCTCTACCATCCTATCCCTGGTTCCCAAAGCAACTGTATGGACAAAAATGGACATGAACTGTAGAACAGTTTTATAGTTATAACTGTGTTAGTTATCAGCAAAAGCATCTTGGTCAAGCATTAAGCTGCAAATAAATGGTAGCAGAGACCTCTGACAACTTAATCTGAAACACTGTGATTAATACAGCTAGTTCTCGGTTAGAGACCTATTTCCACTAGCTAGAAGTTTCCGATACCCATTTTCTGTTTCATTAGTTTAAGACTGGAAGTCTAGCAAAACATAAGGCATAGTCAGAAGATTAAGGACACTGTGCATTATCTTAAATCCTTGGCTGGTATGGAAAGCCTAGCTCTCCCTCCCAAATTCTACGAACACTCAGTAGTTGACCTTGTGTTACCACTGATAACCAAAAAAATAAGTTGAACACTATAAATTATCTCCTACTGTTAAGACAAGTATTATTTTATGTCCTAACAACTACAAAACCTTAGCTGTTGTAATTGCAAGCTTTATTTATATGGAGACTTAAGTTCAGTTCCCTGAAGAGCCTCTGTGTCCCCCTGCCTCAGGTCCCAAGCTCTGGAAGCAAAGAGGGACCAGCACTGAGCAGTTTTAGTGCCAGACTCACCCCGCCTGAGACAAATACTCACTGGTCATTCTCATCATGACCAATCACTGCTTCATAAGACTATGTAAAGCTAGGGCGATTGTATAAAGTCACCTATTCAAACAGCAGTGAGTCTCACACTTCAGGCAAGCATATCACCAGAAGCAGCCTGTACACCACCTTCCTCCTAAAGGAAGCAATGTCTGCAAACAGTTTCATGAGTCCAGTATAAATTCAGAGGCAGCACTGTTTTTCTCTTCCTCTGGAGATCCCTTCCTCCAATCCAACCCAATCAGGCAAGAACAGTTCGCTTAGTAAAATACTTGCCAAGCACAAAACTGCTAATGCCTGTTCTAGGGTTTTTACTTATCCTTGACAATGCAGCTGTGAAGGCATCCATATTAAGTTTACTGGCTGACTGCAATCACTTGCTAAAATAAACAGGGACTAGCTCCATACAGGTGAAGGGCACTAGAAACACAGATATAGTTAGCCTTGAAGAAGTTATTCCCTAATATCTTGATCCTGTTGCAAAGGTTTCATCTATCCTTATTCCAGTCTATAGCTTCATTCTTTCAAATGAAAAAGATTCTGACCAAAGAGGAAAGCAAGCACAGAAAGACACAGATTTGATACAAAATATAAAACTCCATCTATAAATACAGAAAGAAAACAGGACTGTAGCCAAACATATACCACCATCTGAATTTTTATTTCATCTTCCAAAAATAGTAAAATCCATACATGTAGCAAAATCTCCAGAGATATAAATCAGTACTGGCATGGTATCTGAACAAATATATAGAGCACCTGAAGTGTGATAACTCCTGACATTGATTTACTTTTAGAGGACGGTTGTCTCAAGAACATTTCGAAAGTTTGTGAGATAATTTCAAAAGATATTGTGCTTTTAGAGTGGAAAGCCCTTATCCACAAACCACTTGAAACTGCTAGGAACAAACTCCTTAAAATAATCCTGAAGTTTGCTTTATTCTTCCACATACACTTGTTACTAGGGGTCCTCTAATCTGACCCATTAGAGGCTCTTGTTATAGTCAAGAGACCAGAGTTTTTTCTTTCATAAACACACATAAAAACAGAACCCCAAATATCCGTCAAGAAGTGTGACAACTCTTGGTGGCCCCAATTTGCTGCTCTTCCATTGCTTGCCCCCGCATCACCCCACCCAGTGGCAACAGCATAGTTTCTTCTGGGGTGAAAGAACACTCAGCAATGCATCAGCCTATAGTTTATTATTAAGCAGCCCTAAAGACAAAGGCACAACTGAAGAAACAAATCTTACAGTGATTTATTTAAAAGACAGGAAATGTCTTTTCTTTTTTAAAAAAAAAAAAAAAAAAGATTTACATTTAAAAGGTTGGTTAACCTGGTAGAAGAAACAGTGTTTCCTTAGTTTATGTGAATTAGGTCAAATAGCTTTTAACCTACTTCCAGTACATCTATACCAGGTCTACAGCAGAAAACACAGTTCATTTTTTAACCCTGCCCCTTCATTACACCACTTTTCTAGATACAACATACTTGTGTTCCCAGGTCAGTATAATGGCCACCTAAATATGAAGCAACATTGGCTAGAATGAGCTGTGTTTCCAACACAGTACCTCAGAAATGCAGTTTTACAAGTTCAACAGCAAGCATTTATTTCAACACATTCATATAACATCAGATTCACAGTTTTCATAGTTGTCCAGCACAGCTTTAAAGCCAAAATTCAAAGCGTATGCTCATCATAAGCTTACTCTGTTTACTACAGACATGACTGATACCAGTTTGGGTGTGGGGGAGGGAAGCCACCTTCCAGGTTAAGCATTTCCCTGACCTCTTTTTGAACTCAAACATACTATTGTTTCATTGTCACTTCAGATTATTTGTCAGCTGCCAAAAACCCAACATTTTAAAAGAATTAGAGAGACAAGTCATTAACATACTTTAGCTTTCCCTTTTCAGTCACACTTTTTCATTCTTACTTCATGCAAAGCCAGCGCACTAACACCTTTTGACATGAACCTTTTCTTTTTTTAGGAAGAAAGTATTTCCACTACAACTTTCACTGCCACCAGCTGGCACAGTACACTTCCTATTAGTGTTAGTTTGCTTCTGTGCCTCAGTAAGTCAGACAAATGTGCTGACAGGGTCATCTCCAAGCTATTTCTATTCTGAAAGTTTAAGGTTTAGATAAGAAAGCTCCCCCCCCGCCCCCTTCAGAACTTTAAAAGATTCTGACAGCATTAGAAATTCCTGTAGAGCTGGATAATGAAGCTCCTGAGCTTTAGGCACATTACAAAGTTGTGTAACTTTAACTAACTCTTACCTTGTAGCATGCATCTATACGCAGATTCAGATATTGCATAAATGTGCGGTGGCATTTCATGGCGCTTCTTCCCTCTGTACATCTCAATAATGTTTTCTGAATAAATCGGGAGGTTCTTGTAAGGATTTATAACTACGCAGAACAGCCCTGAATAGGTCTAAAAAAAAAAAAACATTTCTGTTAGTAAACAGTATTGAAACAGAGCCACAAGAAGCAGAAAATTTTTTTCACAGCTTTTATAGTATTTGTGTTAGAACAAAATTGAGGCTCTTTTTGTTGAGCAACTTGAAGTACATGCTATATTCAAATTATTGGTTACTTGTTCTCTTAAAAGACTCTTTAATTACCTGCATAAGAAGTAATTTAAAGATAATAGATGTGAGTAAATATGAAATGGAACATCTGATCTCTTTCCACAGATACTTAAATCTCCTTTTCATTTGCCAAGTTACAGGATTTATGGACATCTTTTGACGTTCAACTCCTTCAGTAAAATATGCATTCAAAGTTATTTTTTTTTATTTTCTAAGGGACTGAATCTAATTACTCTAATAAATAATTTAGATAAGGAAAAACCCTATTTCCAGCCACCACCATTTCTGCTATCCTACTATTTTCTTGTATCTGTATGTCTTTCCTGCCCATCAGCCTTTCTCAATCCCAAAGCGGTCTCCTGGAGAGGTCATTCCGCTACTGTCCCCCGGCAGCTGGCACTGCAAATGTTTCCTAGCCTGCTTTTAGAGTCAATACTGAAGTTACCAGGACTACTAGAATATCAAGAAACTCAAGCACAAGTTTTACATCTCTTATTTCATCGAGGCATTTCTGTTTAGTCAAAAAACGCCTCAAGTTCTACAAAACTGAGTGCACATTGCAAACGATATGTACAGGCCCACATTTCCCTGTGAATGAAGCATCAAAGGCTGCTTCAGAACAGCTCAACCTCTGCTCCACAGATGTTATTTGTAAGGAAGTAGTCATATAAGTATATATGAAAGAAAAATGTATACAGTCAGCCACTCACACTTGGGGAGGGACAGATGAGCATGGTCTGGCTGCATGGGCCTTACTGGACATCCCAGGTTAAGCTCACGCGCAGACAGCTTTGCACCATGCAAAAGAGAGAGCTAACACACAGTGTTTCCCTGAACCAAGGCATCTGCGTGGCTCTTGTCTTTTCAGAATCAACCTAAATTGATGGGGTTTAAGACAGCAAAACCTCTCCATACACCTTTATTTCATCACACGCTTTGAAAGTGTATTGGTCATTAGTAGATTTTGGTCATTAGTATTATTCACATCTTTATTAGCAAAGAAATGTTAGCAAGAGAGACCAGTTTTGACAAAAACAGGGAGTATCTTTCTGAATGTTTCTTTCTCTTGCAGGCTGAGAGAAGAAATGGAGACGGTAAGCAGACAGCGTTAACAGCTATTGAGAGCCTATAGTGTTAAGCAGGTAACTCATTATTCTTGTAACATCTGTCAATTTAAAAAATATTTCTGCTACATTTATATGAACAAAGTAGCCAAAATACCTGATTGGCCTTTTTTTAAAATATATTTTATTTTGAGGAAAAGGTGCCCTGTCCTTTCCACACCTACAAGGGATTCTGGACAGACAGACAGAAGGTGATCTCCAAATTGAGTCAGGAGCACCATCAGTAGAATAAAAGAACTTGGTTTTATGCCAGATGCCCTGACATAAGGTCATCTTATGTCCTTATAGGAAAATAATCTCCACTTTGATCAGATTTGCTGGATGATAAGTACCTGCAGTGCCTTACCCAGCCAAACATCGTTGGTAATAAGGTATTTCTCCAGAGAAAGGAAACATGTTATCAGGCCAACTGACCCAAGCATAAAGAACAACTTATTAACTCAATGTAAGCACAGGGTTGTTGGCAATCGGGCAGTTCCTTCCCAGCCTCATATGTCCCTCTCACCAGCATAAGGATCCTTGCCATAACTTACCAAGCTGGATGCTACTGAAAATAAATTTCACAGAGAATTAGTTGGTAATAGGAATCTGTTCCCTGACCAAACTCATTCATGGCCACTAGACATACTGTAGGGGAAAGGGAAGGCAGGACAGTTATTTTAATAGCATGGTACAACTGACCAAGGAGCCAATTAACTGATAAATACCAGATCTACGCTCCTAGCCAGCCATCTCCCCTGTTGTGCTGAACTGAGGTCACCCGCATTCATCTACAATTGCCACAGCTGACATGGAGGCATCAAGAATTACTACATCCCTGATTTCCACACTGGTCTTCAAATAAGGGTAACTAGAAGAAAGGCACACATTCACCAAGCCCATCATACAATCACCAGCTCAAAAAAAAAAAAAAAAAAAAAAAAAATCACTGAACAGCATCTATGTTGTGTTTCTCCACTACAGCCACAACTAATGAAGAGAAAAAAAAAAGAAAAAAAAAAGACTAGATCTTATCTGTGGTCAAGGACAAACAAGTCACAAGCAAAAGAATTCACACAGCTAAAGCCCATTTCCAGATCTGTCCCAACACACCCTCTGACCAGTGTAATGGCATGAACATTTGCTTAAGCCAACAGACCTCTTTCCTCCAGGATGATTCTGGACTCTCCTCCAGCAGCACTTCCGAGCCCTGGCCCGTTTTTCACCCACCCAGCTTCAGAGACTTGCAATCTACCTCCACAGGCTGCTGTTCTCTACCATACTGCAGATGGGAACTCCCAAAACAATGACTGATGGTTAAGCTGTAAGGGTATTGCTGTATATACTGGCTGTATTACCTTCTTCAACACCTCTATTTCTCTGCAAATTCATCTAAAACTTTTATCAGTCATTTTTGTCCTTTTCCATTCACAAAGGAAAGTTGTTTTTTCTCTAGTATCACCACCCTTCCCCAGACATGAATAAACTGATCTGGTAAGTAAAAAAAAAAAAAAGTAACTGGATGGATCATTGAACCTGGAATAATCAGAATAAGGAAAGTCCAGCTAGATGCCAACATACCTCAGCCAATCTAGAGGAAGATCAGCAAATGGCCTGGGCACGCGCAAAGGGTTAATTAAAGAGGCTCTATATTGAACAGGAACAAATTGGAAGTTATGAAGCACAAAATTCTACTGTTTCGCCAGTGCTGGGGTTCATTTATTTGCAACTAAATCTAAATGATAGGCTTTTATCTCTGACCCTTGCGTCTATATCATGACATAGCTCTTCACATGCAACACCTTCAACTCCCACATCTTTGTTTCCTGCGTATTTGTCACTCAGTTCACTCTCTTGCCACTTCCCTGCAGAATTTAAAAATCACACTTTCTTCAAAGCATCACCACACGCCTTAATTTATTCAAAGGAAGATGGAACAGAATTCTCCCACAAGGCTCCTAAGTCTCCTGATCATCATCTATTGCAGAAAGAAACATATGAACATATTGGTGGGTTGTTTTTGTGGCTTGGTAGGCATATAAACACAGAAGGGATGCTTTTACTGAGTCAAATTTAACTGGGAGGGAGGTAAGTGGTACAAGAATTTTATATAGCTATTTTATAACTGCAAGTCTCACAGTACAAGTATATTACTGTATCTGAGGCAGCAGATTAGAGGTATGGGCTTTCTGCATGCAAATTGAAGATATGAAAGGTAGGCAGAGATTGTTTTTACACACCTTGAAAAACTTCTTGATGATCAGCCATAGAAAGAATTAACAGGAATACTTGCACACTTGCCTTACAACGGACACCCAACTTAATGAAAACCACCATGCATTAAAGATGCCCAGAGCTTTCAGACACACCAAAGGGGCAGAGCAATGCCCTGTACCTCCTTTCCATTCTGCAGTACATGGGCTCTGCTGAAACAGTCAGATCTGAATTACAGTGCTTGATCCTAACTGAAGAGGTACAGTAACTAGCCAGTCTGGATGAAGAACCAGACTTCATTAATTTTTCAGCTGACAGAGGTAAATACATATATTAAGAACTTATTATTCACCTTGAGATCATGCAATCAGGTACAAACAAGCTAGTTGCTTGAAACATACATCCCTGTTGTACTGAGAAACAGAATCTAGACAGTAAAAAGCAACTGCAATAAGGCATGTTGGAATGCACAGTCTCTAGGCAAGGCTCCAGAGACAAATAGTAAAGCAGTGCTCTGACAGAGGTTTGTTATACAAACTGTCTCCTTCAGGACACTAATTGTGGAGTTTGAATGATTCCAGATGCTTAGAAGCCTTTATCAAGTAGTATATCATTTAGTAATTTGGATTTTGGTAAGCTATCCCAGACCTGGCACTGGTCTGTTTGAAAACTACCTTATATTCCTAGCAGTAAGCAATCTGAGAAAGAGGTGTATGTAAGTGAACTACTAGCAAAGAGAGGGTGCATGAATTCCAGGTGAAAGCACATGGGAATTCAGGCTCTCAGTTTGGAGTGTGGGCTCCAGAGCAAGAAAGGTTTTCACAGCCTGTCCTACCTTCCCTTAAAACCACATCAAACCTTCACTGCGTACACACATATGGTGGCATTAGTGTCAAAAGCCTTGCCCAATTCCTTAGAGTAATAACTCAGCTTTACAGTTTTTATATCAAGGAAGATGCTGTTATGACTGTTAGGTTGGTTCCTCCGGCCACAATATCAAAGGCATCACTTCAGAGTGCATTAGCAAGGCACAGGTAAATTTTCTGAATTTGTAACAATCTGTTTGCATCACCTAAATGTGGGCTCAACATTTATCTCCAGTTCTTCAAATATAGAAAGTGACAGTTTACTCCATTACTATATAAGCAATTAAGCTGAAGTAAGCATCTAGACATTTATTATTACCCAAAATAGAACCCAGCAGTTCCTAGCCTAGAAAGCAATAGATGTTTTAAGCAGTATGCCACATACTAATGGGGTAGAGCACATTCTCTAGATTGATAATCGCGTCATCATAGCACTTTCTTGTCTGGTTTCACTTTCTGACGTTACGGACCCACCTTTCACTCTCCAAGCCCTGTTAAGTCCTCCAAGCTTGACATGCTTTTCTTGTGTACTAACTTTTCCCCCTAAATGAGGCAGTTACCCAATCCTAAATTCAAGCCTTAAAGAAGGGCAGGCAGCTCTTCAGTCTCAGAGGAGAGGAAAGTGAGGCCAGGCCTGGGGTAGAACACAGTCTCTGCTTT